TTTGCGGCAAATCCCAATAGAGTTTAACTCGGTCACCTTAACCATTCAGAAAGCACAGTTTCACGTAAGATGATGAAAGATTTCGCTGAAGTCGAATGCGTTATAAAAACAAAACATAGAACTAAAGGACCAACTTTTTTGTAAATTGTACTTTAGATCTAAAAGTATTAAATACCATTTTCCCATAATGGCAGTAAGTGAACGCCATAATCCATAAGAACACCTTTGTTTGTATTGCCGATACTTTCTTTTTGAAAATATGATAAAAACATAATTCCTACCTATGAAAATGTTTGAACATAGTCTTTCATTCTCTCTGGCTTTAGCTATTCATTACATTCTACATCTACATTTAGATTTATATTGATAATGACGGTTTAATGTACAGAATGAACATGCAATGTTTCTTCGCAGATATTTTAAAAAGTATCTTTTTAGCAGCATTGGTTAAGTAAATCATGGCACAAGTATGTCTTAATAGCCAACAATAAGTATCTATCTTAGTTACTTGTAGTAGTTAATATGGGCTACTTACTGCTTATTCTTCGCGAATGTAATTTTCACCAGTCGAAGAACTCCGGTAATTGTGGCGAAAATACGTCATTTCACGTATCGTAAATCACGTCAGCTTTGTTTCACTTTTTTTATTTACGATGACATTTAATAATTTAATCTCAAATATAGCACTAGCATATTTGGTTTAGAAAATGTATGATCGAGTAATTATTTTTTAATCGTGTTAATTTATGAAATTGAATCCGATAATCCGAGTGAATATGAATTGAATAATTGAAATTTATTTTGAATTTGTTGAAAAAAAAAAATTAGCTTACAGCTTCCAAACTTGTTTGTATTCAAATTGAACAAGACTTTTAGTTAAAAATTATAGTGGGAAATTCAATGCTGCCACAGCAATAATTATAAAAGCAGGATACCTATCACAGTTTAAGACTTAATATATATTTTTTAGTTCTCTCGAAATTTAAGTGAAAACTTCGGGTTTTGTAATTTTTCACATATCTTTAATACTAAATTTGAATTTTTTTTTCTTTAACAGTTTTTCTTTATCAGTCGCAGCTCTACAACGGGTAATTTTATTCGGACAAACATACAAGACAAATCTAAAAGCTAGAACTTTTTTTTAACTTTTATAGTTTTATTTTGATTATATCAGATCAAAACAACTTTAAAATATCTTATTAAAAATCATCAATAATAACATTTTCATGTTAACTCTCGATTGATACAAATGTTTTTGGAACTGTAATACAATAGTTATCTTAATTTGTTAGATACAGAATAAAAGCTATTCGCTTTATAGGAATTAGTATATTTTCAAAAAATTTGAAAGAATTAATCCTTAGACGTACTAAGATAATCGGCCTAGTATCCAGTCAGTAGTTGATGTCCAAAAACTTTAACCACACATGAAATCATCAATAAGTGTTTTATGGTTTTGGAAGATCGGCGTATAAAGGTGCGTGAAACTCAATACTCTGAGGATATGCGGGGAACTTTTCTTCAAATCTTGCACCAGGAATTGAAGATTTAAAGGAGTTGGGAAGATAGGTGCCTATGGTCAATGCGGATCACAAACGGCAAGTCACTTTCTACAAAATGCTTTTTGCTATTTATCAGTCAAATAGCAATTTTTGCTATTTGACCGAATCAAAACAGGTAATCATTTTTCAACTATTGAAACTGGATTTGTTTCGGAACAAGCTTTGTTTCGGATCTGCATTATGAAGTGCTTAACTAATTTCCAGACTGGACTCCCTCGGACTTATATCTATTCTCAAAACTTTTAAACATTCTCCGCTGCTTAGCACTTTTTGCTACTCTAGATGAGTACGTAGCGGGATTCCAGAGGAACACTGCCGAGAAAGGATTAGAACACAGCTAAATGAAATGTATTGATATTAGAGAAGATTATGTTAAAAAATAAAATTGTCACTGTCAGGCCAAGCACTCTTTAGTCAACCTTTTATATAAGCTATTTGAAGAAAGTACATGGATAGTAAATCTAGCTGTCTTCAGATAGTCCCTCTAGTACTGTAGTATTTTTTGCTTATTTTAGGATTATATAAATGGTTCCCAATGAAGAACGTAGCTTCTGAAGTACCGAAATATAAATAGTTCCGAATTAAGAATATAGGTTTATATATACGCAATAGGAATATAGGCAATTAAGAATATAGAAAGTTATGTCATGGTTTGTCAACGAGGTTTGATTGATGTTTTTTCATGTAAGCGTACCTATTTAGTACAATATAATTTATTAAAATATACAAATGTTATAAATGAAAATTTTTCGTTTAATCAAATGGTAAAGATCATTATCGCTACATTTTCATTCTTTTATTTACAAAGAAAATTCTACTATGAACAATTTAATATTTTTGTTACGTCAAGCGGACGAAAATTGTGGAAGGTAATGATACCTCTAGTATTAATTCACTTTTTGTGTAAATCTTCAGACAAGGCAAAAATTTGTTCTAAGTTCATTAAAAATAATGGTAAAATTTTACAATCTTAGTTAATTTTAGCACAACAGCCTAGTTAATGGTAATTTAAACATTTTTTTTATATAAAAGTCCCTTCAAACTCTTTTGCTTTTATTAGTTAAGGCCCGATTCCTAATAGCGTAGAAATTTTAATAGTATGTCATCTAGGAAAATAATTAAGGCAACAAACTATAAATACATTAAAAAGAATAATTTCTCCAATTGATCACATACTTTTTGCTTCTCTGCATATTATATATATTTTTGAACCTTTTCGAATTTTTATTATGTACCTTTCAGTCATATTTTAACCTAGCAACTTTCTGTCCCTCTTCTACTATTTCCATTTTTGGATGAGTTCAGCCGTTTTAATTTTTACCTCAGAAACTGCCACCTAAAAGGCAATAGTACGTTTTAATTTATTTTTTAGATTCGATGGGAGCTATTGAGACTTCCACTATCATTTTAATATGCGTTAGCATCGGACAACAGCATATAGTCAGGTATTTACGGTATTTTTAGCGGTTGCTGCGTAATTTAGGAGACACAAATTGGTATCTACTTCAAAATAGGTGGCGCTACGTAGCGTAACCACTTCGAAGTATGAAATGTTTTTAAGAATCCTGCTTTTTCTCTCGTTAGTGTGTCTTCGATCAGGTATCCTGATCCAGATGCCTGATCAGCATCAATTAAGGTGAAACTTTTTCCTATGGCGACGAAGTATTACTTATTGCTGCAAGAGAGCATATATCGCCAGCAAATTGTGCTAATAATCTTTTTAATTCACATTTTATTTTAAAGTAATGTCTTTATACTTTAACCTATCTTTTTGATGGATTTATAATTCTTCAGTAATATTTTTATTAAAATTAATTATTTTACAATAACATTTTTTTTAAATCACACAACTGATTGTTCTTCCACGATTTATTAATAAAATTACTTATATAGTAGTACCAACCAATAATCGTAGTACCGCTTTTATTACATATGTCTTAATATAGGCGATAATCTCTTAACTGGTATAAAATTGTTTCCTAAAGTTGCAAGCTTACTTTAAACCGTACTGCAGACACTCATCATTTTTGTATTTATATTTTTGTCCAAATCTTAACGTGTCCCAAATATCGTTTTAAGATTTAAAAAAATAGACAAATTTTCTCCAAATATTAAATACACTATTCAACATTTGCTTCGATGCAAGATGTATCTGGGTTTTATCTATTTCTTGCACTTCCAACCCTGTATTCACGTTAAAAATATTTCATCTGAATATTTTATATCTTGAAACTATCAAGTATAAGTTCATTTATATTTGGCAGGGGAACTTCATATAATCCAAGAAAAAAGTGTATTGACTTTTTTTGAATTTTTTCAGTTCATTCACTCTTACCTGTTAATGCGGTTTTATTTGTATAAATAGATAATAATGTATATAAACAGCCAATACCCTTGTGTTAGAAAATGATCGAAGAAAATCTAAAAATATCCAAAAAACAAAAAAAAAACAAATTCAACTTTGTACTAACATACTTTATATTTACAGAAATATAATAAAAAATGAAAAAATTAGTAATAAACTCTGCCTACTACAATTTTTTGATTGGAACGAGCCTTAACTTTAAATTGAGGTGACATTTGTAACAATTCATTTGAATATAGAAGTAAACTTTATAAAAATTATACAAAACCAATCTACAACTAAAGACATAATTTTTTGGCTAGCTTGAGCATCAATACAAGGGCATTTAAACTTACGTAAATTAATTTTATCGATACAAATTATTACCAATAATTTCATTGTCATTTTCTACAGGAACTTTCAAAACAATTATTTTTGTGACTGAAAAATTGTCTTTTTTGTGTAATATCTGTTGTTAAATAAACAAGTGTTCTATTAATACTAATATTTAAACTAGATGAACAAACAACCACTTAAAAAAAACTGCTGTCTTTCTCTGGTCCCATTTTCGACACTATATGTACATAAAAACATTGTTATGGATCAAAAATTATATAACACGATGAAAAGATTTAACAATATTTCAGAATACAAAATTAGAAAATAAAAAGCAATAACTTTGAATTGTAAAAAGGCTAAACATTAACAAGGTACAAACAACAAAGGTAATATGTTCCCTATATAACACTAATATACAACTAGCAGCGAAATTTTTCATTAGAAAAATATTTAAAAAGTAAACACGGAATAGAGCTAACACTAGTAAGGAAAAAGTAAAAAAGAAATTGAAATAGGAGCTCAAAAATTTTGATTACATGTTCAACACAAAGAAAAGAACATAGTATCCTGTCTTTTTTTATGTTGATAATGATATTAATCGTTAATAATTAAGTCATGTTAATTCTTTTTCATTTTTAAATTTGTATGTTAAGTTGGTTATGATGTTAAGCTACTGACGGAATCATGTAATTGTAACATGTAAAATACTCTTCTAACAATAAATGTTGCTTACATGTTCTCAAATCTTAACATACCTAAATTATGTTTTATTATAACTAAACTATTATCACTGAATTTTGTAGATATAATGGTGGTAAAGATATACGTTTAATTGCTCTTGTAGTAAAATATTTAACCAAAACTATAAAACAAATTTATATTTATATATACCCAATATTATCCAAAACTATTTACTTCTACATCAATAACAAAATGCATCCAACCTCAAAAAATAAATCTACTCTGGATCTATTTCTCAAAAGCAGTCGAAGTTGAAGGCCGTATCTCAGCTATTCTGGTTTTGATATTGAATCTGTGATGGAGAGGTAGTATATTCCATGCCAAATGTATGTTCCATTTGCAGGTGGCTGTCTTGATTTAGATCCACATAATCTATGGTATCCGCCTCGTATTTGATGCCTCGTTTGAAGCGTCCATACAGCGAGGAATAAGGCAGGTTATAGTGGATGGCCGCTTGGTTGATGGACATGTGACCTAACCTGAAAAATTAAAGGCATATGCATGAGTTATTTTTATTACCTACTTCGACTACGCTTTAAATTAAATAAATTAACAATAGAGTAAGTTTGATCTTATATAAAAAGAGTTAAATGTTAAATATTTTTTTATATAATATACAGGACGATCAAAACTATAATCAGCATCCAAAAGATCTTTTATCTACAGCAAACGCCAATTAGGGTGAGGTTTCGTCGCGATTGTCTTAAAAGGACCCATTTTAGCAACATTGGTTAAGTAAATCATGATCCAAAAGCAGGGGCGGGCGCAAATCTGTCTGAATAATAGATACATACCATTAAAGTATGCTGAGCTTTTTGAGCAACGAAAGAGAGAAAACGGTGAACCAGATTAATTGTTTCTTGTTTAGGGACAGTGGTGAATAGATTTCTAACATCAAATGAAAGCATAGTAATGTTGGGGTGAAGATTAATATGTTGTAGGTTATTGACTAGTTGAGTAGTATTTTTGACTGAGAACCGAGGGGTAAAGTTCGTCATGTTGTTAATAAGATTCAATATAAATTTTGATAGGATGGAAACTGGAGTGTTTATGAAACTAATAACTGGACAAATAGGAATGCCCTCCTTGTGTATCTTAGGTAAACCATACAGTCTGGATGTCAAAGGGTTGCTTGGAATTTTGTAATATGGTGTAAAATGTTCTGAAAAGAAGTCTGTAAAGAAGTCAATAAAACAATTTTCTCCATATTCTTAACATAAATTCAGAACAAATTTACAATCTAAAACTACAACATTGATGGTTGCTACTGTGGTTAGTAGTTATTTTAATTTTAACGTATTCAACTTTTAAATAGCGTTGGCTTCTGTCTTAAGCAGACTAACACATTAAGTAACACTGACTGCTTTGTTCGGACTTCCGTCCTAAGGGAGAGCGCCCACCAAAGTGGCGTGGCAGTGGCAAGTAGCAAGTAGCACGCGTCTAGCATAATGTAACCAATGAAAACGAATGATTCAGTTTACACCAAATGACAGTGACGTCATTCATTCTAACCATTCGTTTGGACTGGTTACGTTATGATAGGACGCGTGCTACTTGCTGCTTGCCACTGCCACGCCACTTTGGTGGGCGCTCGCCCTAACTTGTCAAGATTGTCATTTCAATCAGTTGCTATCATCAAGTCCTCATAGACACTTCGACTCAGGACCAGCAAGTTGATGTGGAGTCATACGTCGCCATGTTATCAAATCCACTGGTAACTTTAACATCCTAATATATACTACTACCATATAATGTAAACTAAATTTAAACAAATAATTTTTAACGGGTTTTTACCCAGATATTTAGTGGCTCAATACATATACACTAGTAAGTATTAACCAAATTTTGTATTAACCTTGGAGAAAATTTAAATTTCACGTTCTTTTTAATTAAGTGGTTATATACTTTTTAGGACACCGATGATGGAATATCGATTCCGAAAACGTTTTGCGATATAGCCCGATTGGGTTTTTAAATTATATACCTTTTATAAAGGATTTTTAATAAATTTTTAATTTAAAAGAAAATTCTAGATACTCTATTTTAAAATCTTGCTAATTTTAAACTTTTTAGTATTTTATTCAAACGTCCATTCCAGTGATTCAGTATTTGCTAAAGTTTCTTTCAGTTTTTCCTACTACCACTATATCATCAGTATATATTACAAACCAAGGAATGTCATCTTGAAATTCTCTTTTACCTGATTCATTTGGTTTTATCTAGCACTAGTTGTTACTCCATGATACACCTATTACAATTTTCACATACTCACGAGGACATCCTTTCTTATAGAGCAACCACCACAGAACCTCCAAAGCCTTGCATCTGTTTATTTGCCTTAGATTAAGCCAAACTAATGTTTGTTTATGCCATATAGTTTATGCATTATCTCCTTTGTTTTGTACACAGATACTAATATACTGCTTTCCTACTCATATGGCATTTATCCCATTTTAATAATTGTATTAAACAACTTATCCCGTCTCTCCTAAAGCTGCCCATACTTCTACAGGAATATCATCTAGGGAATTGCTTTACTTAATTTAGTTTTTGTAGTGCTTGAATAACTTCTTCGTTTAATATTTTAGCAACCGTTGAGGTTACTGTATCCGTTATTTTAACTGGTTTTCTGTCAAACTCTTCGTTTAATAAATTGTCAAATTATTTTTCCATCGCTTTTTCGTGCACTAGTATTTTATCAATTTCATCTTGGATACGTCTAATCTGATTGATAATTTACTTTTATAAAAACTTTTTAAAAACATTAAAATGTAATAATTATATTAATTGATTATTCTTTCGCAGGTCATCATGCAGGGTAGAGTCGATGGCAAAAAGGGAATAGGTAGAAAGAGGAAGTCATGGCTGCGAAATATTCGAGACTGGACAAACATGACTGTAGACGAATTATTCCACGTTGCAAAAGACAGAGAAGCTTTTAAAAATGTGGTCGCCAACCTCCGTTAATGGGGACGGCATAGGAAGAAGAAGAAGATTCTTTCGAATTTTACGAAGTGTTATTATCAATTCTTATAAATTTTTTTGTATGGCTACATTGCTGTTGCCATGTTATTAGTTATTTATTAATGATTTACACCTATTTACTCTTTATTTTACAGTTATTTTTAACAATATTTTAATTTACTTACACTAAAACACTAAAAACTAATTAATTTATAATATACGTTTATTTACGAGTTGACGATCTAAATTTGTTCTCTATATGTAGTGTTCGCCTATGCCTCTAGAGATCTCCAGATCGGGAACAATAAGAATGAACTCCTCCAGACACATGCGCAGATGCCGGCAAACATCTGCGTTCACATTATATGTTTGAGAAGGTCAGAGGTTATTTGAAAAGTAGTAGCTATAGTACACTATAATACTGTGATATATGTGAATAAATAAAATAAATGTTGTTCAAATCGGTAAGTTTACTCTTGCCTGAGTAGGTAGGTGTAAGTGAAAACGAAAACTTTCGCAGTTCAGAAAGAAATAACTAGGATTTTTATGGCAAGAGGAATATTACAAACCTAGTACAAACGATTAGATTGTAGGCATATACATTACTGATAGCTAAATATATATATATATATATATATATATATATATATATATATATATATATATATATATATATATATATAGTAAACTCTTAAAGATTGGGGAAATTGCAAGATTTTCTTCTTTCTTGCAGATTTCCCCAATATTTAAGAGGTTACTATTTAACTTATCTGCAAAGATAAGTTTCTTACCTAACGGCCTCTAGAGCTTCTCCCATGGCATCTTCAGACCAAGGCGTAGGATTCGACCTTGACAATTCTATTCCTTCTCTTTTGCATCTACCGTATAACGTTCCCGTGGGGATGCCAAATTCTGTTGAAGCTTTTTGTACAGACGTCTGGCCCGTTCTTATGGACTCTAAGGCTTTTTCTAAGTCTTCAGGTGTCCAAGTAGTCGGTGCCGCGTTGAAAGGTGCTGCCAGTCTTATTCCTTCTCTTCTCGCTATTTTGTACAGGGTGCTACTGGGAATGCCTACAAAAGATGATTAATTATATTATTTTATAAGTCTTATAAACAAATACGTAAGTGGAAGGCACTTAAGTGTTCCTTTAATTTTGGGATTAAGTGATAATCACTTGATGCTTGGTCCGGACTGCAGGGGGGATGGGGCACAACAGTCCAGCCAAAATCTCTCTGCGGTTGTTCAGTTTGATGTCAGACATGACTTTGAGCACTGTCATGCAGAAGTCTCATACCGCTGGACAATTGTCCTCGCCGGCGTCTCTGGATCTCACGTCTCAGTCTTTTTAATGTTTCGCAATATCTGTCGGAGTTAACTGTTGTGTCATGAATCAAAAAGTCGAACAACAGTAGGCCGTTCCTGTCCCAAAAAACGGTTGCCATGACTTTCTCATCAGACTACGTTTGCTTACATTAGTTAGGCTAAGCGAAATTGAGTGATGTCATTAACGTGATTGCTACTTGGTTTCGGGGGTACAAAGAAACACACGCCTGTGTTTGGGAGAAAAAAAAACTAAAAGATTCAGACAGAAAAATTTCAAAAATTTGTAGGAACGTTTTTAACGGTTAGCCTGGGAAAATTCTCTTCTTCTTAAAGTGCCTATCCGTTCCGGATGTTGGCCGGATCATCACGGCTATCTTTACTTTGTTTACTGCAGCGCGGAACAGTTCAGTGGTAGTCGTGGTATACCACTTTCATAAATTTTGAAGCCAGGAAATGCGTCTTCTTCCCGGTCCTCTCTTACCATTTACCTTCCCTTGGAGAATTAGCTGGAGAAGGCCGTAACGTTCTTGATTTCTCATTACATGTCCTAGATATTCCAACTTTTTAGTTTTGACGGTCATGAGAATTTGTCAACTGTCAACCCAGGATATACGTAAGATGCGCCTATAACACCACATTTCGAAAGCTTCGAGCCGATTCATAGAACAGTCAGTGTCCACACTTCCATTCCGTAGAGCAGAACTGTGAATATGTAGCAGTTCAATAGAAGGCATTTTGTTTTAATGATATGTCTCGACTGTTGAAAATGGTTCTCATTCTAACGAATGCTGCTTTACACTTTTTAAAATTACACTAGCAAATAAGAATACTTACCAAATGCTTTACTAGCTTTATTTGCAGATATAGTTCCAGTTCTTAATGCTTCCAGAGCGTTATTTAGATTTTCTTCAGTCCAAGATTTAGTAGGCCCTTCTTTTTTGGGGGTATCTATTCCTAGCCTATGAGCTCTCTGCCATAAAGTAGTGGAGGGAATACCATAAGTTGCGGATGCCTAAAATCATAGTCTTGTGAGTAATAAATATAAATAAAAGAGCAAACTTTTGGAATACCGAACTAATAATCAGTAGAACGATCTGTGCGTGTAGCGGGAACATCAAAGTCAGAAAGTATTTCTTTTTTTACTTTTTTAATCGCCTATATGTATTTTTGTGTGGGGTAGTATGTGTATTGTGTAAATAATATAAAATACTATAAAGTCACACACTACTGTATGATTACAAAACTTGGACTATGGACAAAAACAACCAAAATAAAATTGAGCTATAAGAAAGGAAAATACTTGAAAAAATCTATGATAAAATAAAAACGAATTAGAATAACAGAGAGGTACTAATAAATACTTTAGAATCTAATAAAAGAAAAAAAAACAGAAAACTATTAGGGCAAGACGACTGAACTGGTTGGTTTATTTGCGTTCATTTGGAGCGAATAGAAAAGTCAATATTAATTAAATAAATAAATAACATTAAACATAGAAAGAGGAAAAAGGGTAAAGAAAAAAAAATGTACTCGACCTGTGTCACGACAATTTCATATCACGTGCAATGCTATTAATTTTGTTTTTCAATATTATGATGTTTATAATATGACGTATGTTATGAAAAATTACCTTAGTTAGGCTCATATTATGATTTCGTAAGGCATCTAACGCCATATCCATATCTTCCTGTGTCCAAGTTTTCGGTCCCCCAGCGTGAGACCTTTGTTGCCCTAATTCTAAATGGCCGTTATTTTTCATTCCAGGTACGTCATCACCTACATCTAAAACATAAAAATCACAATTCTTTAAAATTCCTTAATAGATTTTGTTATCAAATAATCACACAGAAAGAGAAAAAATATTGGGAACAAATTATTGAAGGGAAGCCTATCTGGAAAGAGTATCTAACAAAGCAAGGCTTTGTGTTTGAATTTGTCACAAAATATGTGAAAAATCATGGGGTATGGAACCCAATCAGATTTATTGGCAATGTATGATTGCTATCAGACCTGTGATTACGTATGAAGCACAAGTAATCTAAATGCCAACAAAAGACCTCCAGAAATAAGCTGAATAAGTTTCAATGACAAGGAGATCATACTTGACCTCCCTTTGTTACATATACGGATGGAGAATTAGGCGAAGGTATCTGGATCAAATCTGGAGAAATAATAAAAAATCGTCGAGAGTTGGAAATCGTATCAAATACAAGCAATCTGAATAAAATGTCGAAAAGCCGTTTACCACGAAGGGACTAATGGAAATCGAATAAAACGAAATAGGAACTGCAGGAACATATCTATAAAAATTATATCGGATAGCCAAGCAGCATTAACGACACTGGAATCAAATTGAATTGACTCAAAATAGTTTGACTCCAAATATTGATCTCTGACTGAATCGAAATCTCAGTAGGATAGGAAAAAGTAACAAAGTAAATTTACTCTGGGTATTGAAGGCAACGAAAAAGCGAATTTACTTGCCAGGAGAGGGGCAAAAGAAACGATCATATGCCGAAAATGTACTAGATATGAATAAGAATGGTCTGAGAATTATCGTGGGTTACTAACAAGATACTGTCGCCTCAAAGGACACATGAACAAAATCGGACTGACAGAAAGTGAGCATTGCAGATTTTGGCAGGATGAAGACGAGACGGCGTAACACTTTTTGTGCAACTGTCCAGGTTGGATAGGCTAAGGTTCAATACATTTGGGCATTATCAATTAAGCCCTACAACTACGTAAAAGTGTTACCAAAGGCCACAGTAGACTTTGTTAAGAAGGCTAGCTAAAGGGACAACTTTAACCTACGGTTGAGCCACAATAGAACTGTTAGGTCAAGTGGAGGGTGGCAGCAACTCATATTAAACCTAACCTAACATGATTATCTCCTATGGTGTTACAGCTCAAGTCGGACCCTGGCCTCCTCCAGCATCTGCCTCCAAGCATCCGTTACCTTGGCTGCTTTCCTCCAGTTATGCACCCTCAATATCTCTTTAGCATCGGTTCTCACTTTGTCTATCCACCTTATCCTTGGTATTCCTACTGGCTGACATCCTACCATAGTTCCACTAACCGTTCTACTAGGTGTTTTGTAATTATCTATTCTTATAAAGTGAGCTGCCCAATACAATCTTTGTAATTTTCTATAATTATCTATAGAGGGTTCTTTGTGATATTAATATATCTCGTATTTCAACCTTATTTTCCACATACCCTTGTCGCAAATGGGTCACAATACCCTTCTCAATATCTTTCTTTCAAAAGTATTAATAAATTTTATTGTCTTTTCTGCACGATCCATGTTTCTACGTTTTATGTTGCTATTGGTCGTACGATGGTTTTATATATTTTGAACTTTATTTATCTATGGATGTCTTTGAAACCAAACACCTGCGACAGGGAAAAGTATGCTTTGTTAGCAAACAGTATCCTACTCAGTATTTCCTCCTCCTCGCTCCCGTCCTCAGTTATCTGTGCTCCCAGGTATGTGAGCTGTTTAACTACTTGAATATTTGCGTCGTGTATTGTCTAATTTTGCAAGTTTCGTTGTTTTCTTGCTTGTATTAGAGCTTTAGGGCTTTAGTTTACCTAACCTAACACGATTATTGGGAGAAATTATACAAACTCCTTATCATTAAATTTTTGTTTTTCGTGTTTTTGTTGTTGTGTAAAGCTACGTTTTTAATATTGTTAACAATATATTTAGATACTGCTACTACAATAAATAATCTCTTTGGTATTACTAGATGATTTGTATTTAATTTGAGGATAGGTGTGGACGTGAATTTAGAGGAAAAAAGTTTAAGATAATTAATAAAAGAACACCAGAAAAACAACCATACAGGTTATTTTATTACAGACAAAAATTAGTTGAAAACTGCAGCACATATTATCAAAGGCGAATACGGGAGCGTGCATAACCACCTCTCGCTCCTGTGACGTACTGATGATGTCTTAAACATTTCCTTAGTACTCCTTACAACTTACGTAGTACTTACAGTATTAGTTCTATTATATCATTCAGTTTTAATCCGTTGCTTTGTAACGAATCGTTCTAAAGGATCTAGATCATAAATATTTCACCAATACGATGATCCCATTCCTCTCCTAATACTATAGCTGCAGTACAAATTCTCGCTGACATACGATTCGTGGTGATTCGTGTGTTGGCAGTCGCAAGGTTACGTGCTTACAGAGTTGTGCCGAATCTAAATGATCCCATAATCTACAGCATGGTGAGCTGAGTGTTTTCCTTTTCCCGCCCAGAACGCCCACAGCACATCTAATATCCCGACTCTATATGAGCTACCTAGACGGAGGTTATAAAGGTATGGGATATACGCAGGAAAGAGACGTTATATTCCTTTTTACCACCAAATTGAATATATTGCAATAGAATATATTAACAGGAAATAAACAAAAATGAAAGTTTTTCTGACAACTGCTAGTATCTTGTTGAAACTTTCTTGGATGAAAATATCAGTCCGATACATAAAGACAATAAAAAAGTTCCGAAAAATAGAAAACGTTGCATTCCAGATTATGTTATAGCCTAGATCGTCATTCACAAAAAATATCTACCAAATTTTAGAGGCGAAAAGACTTCTAATCTGAATTATTTGAATCTAATTTGTTTGTAAATCCGTATACTTACCTAATTTAGAAACTCCAGGAATCCCACTAAAATCTGCATGACCAATAAGCTGGTGCATGGTTCTTTCTCCATCTTCGTGGCTGTCCATTGAATGATCAGGCCCCGACAAATGCGATTCCATATCCAATAAGCTGTATAAAAATTAAAAAATAATTAAGATAAATAATTTACAAATTTTTCATACCAGTTTATGTCATTAAAAATATTTTGTAGTAAGTATACAAGCGACAGAAGGCTACCTATATCTAAATTGATTGTCCTGTATTAACCAATTAACATTACAAAATTTATGGATTCTGCTTTAATATGTCCTTAAATTTTTTTTAGAAAAATTTGTTGCCCTTGTTTAATTTTAAGGAACCATTTTTTAGGGTTTATGATACGAAAATACCCTCAAATTAAAGAGGGATTACTGAAGCAAATTACTGAGCACCACAAAACAAAGACTATAAAACATAAAATCCATACATTTACTTTCAGAGGACGAACAACAAAGGTTCAGATCAGGCAGATTATATACGGATACCGCTTTTGTCCTTAGACAAACAACTGAAAAATCAATTGAGTACAACAAATCGATCTACATATATGCTTTATTGACTAGTGTCTAGTTGAGCCGAGACCAGACAAATATAAGAATACAAAATCATACCATAGAAAATGTGGAACATTATGTATATCTAGGTCATGTTATCAAACTAGGAAAACCAAATCAAGATGCTGAAATTAAAAGAACACAACTGACTTGGGGCGCTTTCGGCAAACTAGCACATATCTTGAAAAACACCTCCATTCCTATAAACTTAAAGAAAAAGGTGTATAACACATGCATACTACCTGTTTGTACCTACGGCTTGGAGACAGTAGCACTTACCAAAAAATCTGCCAAAAAATTAGAAACAACGCAAACAGCAATGGAACGAATCATGCTTGGAATATCACTAAGAGACAAGATTAGAAACACCGAGATAAGACGTTAGAACGAAGATTAGGGATATTGTGGAAGAAATTACAAAAATGAAATAGCGCTGGGCAGGTCACGTAGCCCGATATAATGACAACAGGTGGACACGGAGAATTCTAGAATGGAGACCAAGGACGACAACAAGAAGCATGGGAAGACCTCAAAAAAGATGGGTAGATGACATAAGAGCAGTGGCAGGCAAACAGTGGATTAGATTGGCGGAAGATAGAGAAAGATGGAAGTGATTGGGAGAGACCTGCATTCAGGAGTGGATGGAAAATGGTTGACAAAGAAGAGAAGAAGAAGAAGTCTAGTTGAAATATGTCTCTACAACAGATAAAGCCATAACACTTAATAAAACACACGTCTGTTACAAATAAAACACTTAATTATTGCTTAAACGTTTCAGATATTTGCCATTTTCAATATACGCACTTGATTTATTTAATATTACGACACAATTATATTTTATATCTACACTATTTGGTGGTTTTACATGGAATGCAAAATTGTTCAAATGGTCATATTGTCGAAGACTTAGATCATTGCCTAGTGATCTCAGCATTGAGAGCTAGAATTTCAAACATAGACAAAGAAAATAAAAAGGATAAAAAAAATGAAATGTGAAAAAGCTGAGAGTTGCGACAATTATAGAACGGTACTCGGAAAACATCACCAACAAGCTAAGGAATCAAATTGTAAATGAAGAAGGCAGGCAGATATATACTCATATAATGGACCAGAATAAAGAAAGATATTGAAGCAGCAGCAAAAGATGAAATAGGTAAGAACAAAAATTTGTGCCCGTAAATTATTGATTTGATGATGAATGCAAGAATGCACAAAAGAAAAAATGATGCAGAGCAATAAGCCAATGCAGAAGTCAGAATGGTAACCTACTAATAACAAGTAAAGATATATTGAATAGATGAGTGGGATACTTTAACCATTCACTTAATAAATATAGGGAAGAAGAAAACCTATAAGACGAAATAGATTAAGTAAACGGAACAGACGAGAGGGAAGAAGAACCACCAACGAATCTTGAGTTAAAGATGCAGTTAAAAACTAACCGGAAACAAATCACCCAGAATAGATAATTTCCCAGCTAAACTACATAAAGAATGTGGCCACGATACCATCATGACACTAGAGCAGCTCATAAAAGAAATATGGACACAGAAATTCCTCCCAGTGATTGGAATATTGGAATACTTTGTACCATACACCAAAAAGAAGATATCTTTGAATGCTCTAACCTCAGAGAAATTACGCTTCTAAATGCAGCCAATAAAATATTTTCCACAGTACTATGCCACTGTATGGCATCATACAGAACGAATAGTAGGAAAATACCAGGCTGATTTCAGAGGTGGTAAATCTATAATTCATCAGACTGCAAACCTGAGACAAATATTAGAAGAAACACTGGAATATGGCACCGATACTCATCACATAGTTCTAGACTACAAAGCAGCCTATGACTCTGTAAATAGAAGAGAAACGTTTAAAGCAATGAAAGAGCTAGGAATACCAAATCAGTTGGTAAATGTAACAAAAGTAACTTTTGAAAAAGTTGAATGTAATGTATAAATCCAGGGGGACTCAGTGCAAATCATTGCCTATGCTAATTATATCAATATTGTTTAGATAACGTAAACCGCTGTACGAGAGGCGTATGTAGCACTAAAAGAATCAGTTAAAATAATGATTTATATCACCAACACCAACAAAATAAATTATATGCAACCACAAATCCTACGCCCAGTTGTTATAGAAAACGTCTTCATCGAAGCAAAGAACGAATTTATTTAACTCGGAGCACTCCGTGACACTGAACATAATACTACCGCAGAATTTGCACGGTCAACAGATACTATTTTGGGCTCAATCTCCTTCTTAAATCGTCAATTATATCGAGAAATGCACAGCAATCTCTACAATACAATAATACGCCCAGTCCTAACATATGGTTCAGAGACCTGAACTCTAATAAAAAGTAAAAAACAATATTATTGTTTCGAAAGAAAAGTACTAAGGCGAATTTATGGAGCAGTGAATGACAATGGAATGTGGAAAAGACGATACAACTTCGAACTTTATAGAATATACCACGAACCAGATACTGTAAAACATAGATAGGACGTCTGAGGGCATGTAATGCGGATGGAACAAGGTTCCTTGATAATATCGATGAGGGCATGAGAAATATTTCAATACGTTTTTGAAGGAAGAAGGCAGACAATTGGAGAGAAACTCTTGAGGAGGCTATCACCCACGCAGTGTTTTAAAGCTAGAATGATGAAGATGATTCGGGGTCGTACCTTAAATATCTGCCAATGGTGCATTTAAAAAACAACTAAATCTATTAAATTATTATACTCTTAAATATTAAAAATATGTAGGTTATTAATTTGTAACCGGTTTTTATAACTTTCTCCGGGTGCACTTTTGGATATCGGTAAGTTAGACCAAATCGATTTATTTTCATCCATACAAATCGGATCCGAAAAATAACAGAGGAATTAATTTATTAAACACAACACTAAAATTAACAACCAAAGTTATAACAAATAAACTGAATAAAATTATAGCATTAGCAGAAGGACAACAAGGTTTTAGGTTGGGAAGATCATGTACCGACGCTATATTTATATTAAGGCAACTGCAAGAGAAATCAATAGAATACAACAAACCGACATATCTATGTTTCGTGGAACTTAAGAAGGCATTTGACCGGGTCAAATTAAAGGATTTTATCCACTTATTGTACGCAAAAGAGATACCTTTAGAAATAATCAAAACGATCGAAAATACCTACCAAACAACACAATAAAAGTAAAAGTAGAAGAAGAACTAACTGGCCTTATTGAAGCTGGCAATGGAATAAGACAGGGAGATTCCCTGAGTCCTCTATTGTTCAACCTGATTATGGACGAAATAGTAAAAAAAGTAAGAACTAAAAAGGATACCAAATGAGAGAAAAACAACCTAAAATATTCTGTTATGCAGACGAGGTAATACTACTCTCTCAAAGTGAAAATGATTTACAACGTATGCTGAATCAAATCAATCGTCAGAAAATTCAACATGTTAATTTCCCAAAAAAGACAAAATGCATGGTTATAATAGCAGTTTTACTGAAATGTAAATTGGAGCTAGAATGTCAGATAATAGAACAAGTGATGGAGTTTAAATATCTAGGCACCACATTATCTAGCTAAGGAAAGCTCGAAACAGAAGTGGAAGATCAAGTGAATAGAGCAAACAGAGCCGCAGGTTGCCAGCATGAAACAATATAGAGAAATAAAAATATCGAAAAAAAAAAATAAAAGACAGACTTTACAAAACAGTCATCAGACCAATAATAGCATACGCGGCAGAAACACGACCTGACACAGAGAGTATAAAATGGATGTTAGAAACAGCAGAGGTGAAAACACTTTGATAGTAAAACACTATGGGACAGAACTAGAAGTACAGATATACGACATTGATGCAAGGTGGAGAACATCAAGGACTGGGTAAGAAATAGAAGAGTCGAATGGAACGATCATATAAGCCGAATGACAACAAATATAGTTATAAAGACTGCAGGGGACGGTTCTCCAATAGGAAGACGATCAGTAGGAAGACCACCACAACTTCTTAGAGTGCCGTCTCCCTACGGAGATTGGCAATCATAATGGCTATTTTTTATTTTTGAACTTGCTGCTCTAAACAAATCAATCGATCTGCATTGATACCAATCACGTAGATTCTTCAACATGAGTTCTGCCTTCGGCCAAAGATCTTCTTCCTTGAATCTTTCCCTGTATTATGAGTCTCAAAATTTCATATTTTGCTCCCTCATCACGTGGCCTAGTTATTCCAGTTTTTTGGTTTGTATAGTGGTGTTTAGTTCTGTTTATTTACCAATCCTCTCCAGTACCTCTTTATTTGTAGTTCTATCAGTCCAATTCTATCAGACCACAACTTACTGGAGGTCTATTGAAAAACAGACAGAGACATGTCTACATAAAAAGAAAGAAAAAGAAGAAGATAAAAATCGTGGTATAATTATTATGACCAATCTTTTTGTGACACCCTGTATTCATCATCACAAGTTCCATGTGAAAAGTTCCACTATCAATTACTTCGTTAGTGACTTTGTTTAACTGTTGTATTCACGGCAGAGCTATTTTGAGAGTGCGCAATATATACATAAAAACATGTAATGACATCAAAAGATATACCTGTCTTGGTCATATGATCTCAACGTTTCTAACTTAATGTCCGCCTCCTTTTTGATTTCTAAGGTATATTTCGTGGAATCGGAAATATCAGTACGATGCATTGGCTCACTGAGAATAGTCCTGGTGGGAGAATGATCGACTGGAGCCGTGGACATGTCCATGTGACCAACGGGAATGGCCGATGGTGCTGGAGGTTCAGGTGGGAAATCGTCGTCGACGCCGAAATGGGAGAAGATCGTCTAAAATCAGAAGAGAAAAGTTATTCTTCATATACAAAATATACAGAATCATTTGTAAAATATTTTAGACCTTCAATAATTACGGGGAGAACTGCAATACAGACTTACATATTGCACAAAAAGGGATCGTTTAGCATCATAGACCTTTCCTTTTGTATACACTCTATTTCTATGTTTGTTTCGGATAGGCTTTATCGCCTATAGTCGAGCCTTTCTTTTAGGTTAGGTTAGGTTAGGTTAGTAGGCTACGCTTCAACAAGTATTTAGGAATTTTTCTCCACTATTCCGCTCATGCTCGCTGGCTGGTTCTTTTTTGTGTGCTTAGCTTCATCGCGGTTTTTTATGACTAGTTTTCAGTAGTTTTCCTTTCGAATGAAGGACGCTGCGTTGTTCCTTTTATTTGTCGCTTCTTGTTCCGGAATGAACCAGGAACAGCAATGGATGACCCTGCTAGCACAAGCTTCCATGCTATTACTGAGTAATTAACGACCATGACTAAGCATGAAGAGCCCGTCTACCACGATAAGGTCAAATACACAAACGACAGCAACCGTAAACAAGCAGTGGTTCCTTCGGTGAAGAAACATTGCTGCAGCAAAAAAGATATCAAATATAAATCAAAAAGGGTTGAGAAAACATTTACAATGTTTCACATATTTTATCATTCGATAATTGTTATGACTAAACTACTCAAAGCATGCATCTGACTAATATAGTGATTTTTAACAAATTGAAAAAAATTCGATTAATAGTAATAATTATTAGTGTTTCATTACACAGAATTTGAGTACTTAGCTAATAGATAACGTTACTTTCTCACCTGTCCCGATAGTAGGCCATGGCTGCTCATGTTTAGAGGTTTGTTTTGGTCGGATTGTTGCGAGATCGGCCTCTTTCTTTTCGGCTCGGGTTGAGGTTCCAAAGCTACTGGCATGTCATCTTTTTCGTTCTCGTCGCTGGAGGGTTGTTCGCTGCCACCAGCCTTTTCGTTCTTCTTTTCTCTATCTTCCCCACTGTCCCCTTCCTCCTTGTCTGCTCCTTCTTCGCCGTCTTCCTCCTCGCCGCTAATTTCATTCGAATCGAGGACGGCCTGAAAGGTTGTTTTTGGGTATTTTGCCTTTGGTGGACCGATATCTTGAGACTGAAACTACAAAATCAATATTATTAAGAATAGGAATTACAAAAAAAACTATTAACGATAATAAAAATAATCGTATCGTATATATTATATATTAATAAATATAAACTTGCAACACATTATTCATGATTATTCTCCTTTTATACGAAATTATATATTTGTAATGTTTCACAAAAAAAATCTTAAATTGATAAAATAAATAAAAATATGAACGCATAAAACTTTTTGGTATTCCTTAACACCTGTTGTTGGACGTCGTGATCGACTTTTCAATTAATAAACGATTTAATTTATTTGGCCAGTTAGATCCGTCTTGAGTTCATTATGATCATAAGCAATAACTTAGCGATCATTTTTATACTTAAAGATTTTTTTCTATTGATAAATTAATCTCCCAGATTTCACAGTTTTAGACTTCTTTCTTAAGAGACTTATCACACAAAAAGGTTTATAAAACCCGCCCAAAAGGCAGACACGAACTTTCTACAAACATTGGAAAGACGTGTGCAGAAATAACCTAACTAAGAAATGTAATTTGAAACATTCGTAAGAACTGCGAGAAATGTATCCAACTAGAGGTTGGATAAGTAGAAGCAACTAGGCAATAATCTAACCCAAAATTAGGTTTTATACTAAATTAAAATACCTAGACTAATAATGAATAATTAACAAATAACAAAGAAGATCGCTTTTAACACTTTTAACCTACATAAAAAGATCAAAAACTTAACGGGAGGAAACGGATCACGAAGTCATCACTTAGCGAATAAGTTTAAGCTGCTGCATGTGATACCCAAATATATATAAAAATAGTTTGTTGCTTGTACCTAAACGTACTGTACTTTCTTAATTATTCGTTAAGAAAATCTTCCACTGAATAATAAAGTCTTTCAGATAGATAGGCTTTTGTCAATTTACGAAACTTAAGGAAAGAAGTTGTAGATTTAAGTTGCAAGGGGAGATATAGTTTATATAGAGAATATATTTTTTTTCCGAATATAATATAGACTTCTTTACTAACTCAGTAAATGGGATCGGTAAATACACATCAAAGCTTGAATTTCTAGTGTAGTAGTCATGACTAGGTCTTGCTGGAAAAACATGTAGGTGTTTACGAATAAAGCAAACAGCTTCTAGAATATATAGAAAGGGAAGAGTTAAAATCCCGTGATTTGTTAAGTAGCTTTTGCAATGTGTTATTCTACTGAGGGCAAAAAGATTCCGTATTGCTATTTTTTGTAATTTAAAAATAACATCAGATTGGGCAGCTGTACTTCTTCTTTGGGTGCCTTGTCCGTATTCAGACGTTGGCCGTCGTCATGTTTACAATTTCCTGAAACCTTTCTCTGTCGGCTGCTGCGCGAAATAATTCTTCTACTGTGGAACCACACCACTGTCTAATATTACGCAGCCATGAAAGTTTCTTTCGACCAATCCATCTTTTTCCTTTCACTTTTCCTTGTATTATAAGGCGAAGTAGATGGTATTTAGGTCCTCTAATTATATGGCCGAAGTATTCTGTTTTTCTCCTCTTTATGGTGGTTATGAGCAGACGTTCTGAATTGACCATTTGAAGAACATCTTCTAACATATTCTAAGAATGCTTCTAACTTGTTTAGCATTGTGGTTTTTAACGTCCATGTCTCACAACCATACAATAGGATGGACCACACATAACATTTCAGGACCTTCTTACGAATATTCATCGACAGGTTTCTGTTGCATATAACTGGTTTCCACGTCATAACACGCCTTACGTGATATTTCGATCCTGGCTATTATCCCTTCATCAGAGTCACAATTTACATTTAACCAGCTGCCAAGGTATTTGAAATGATTTACCCTTTCGATCTCCTCTCCATTAAGAGAAATCAGACCTTGATCTATATTGATCTTTCCAACTGCCATCCACTTTGTCTTTGAAATGTTGATTTTAAGGCCTCTCCGATAACTTGCTTCACCTACTAGATTTAGTAATGTTTGGAGATCTTGTAAATTTTCTGCAAGAATGGCTGTATCGTCAGCGTATCTAATATTGTTGATTACTTCTCCACCTAGTTTTACTCCCTCTTGTCTGTCATCCAAAGCCTCCCTAAAGATTTCTTCAGAGTGCAGATTAAAAAGAGTGGGTGACAAAACACAACCATGCCATACTCCACGTTTGATAGATATTTCTTCAGTCGGACTGTCTCCAATTTGGATAGAGGCTACTTGATTGTAATTTAAGTATTTCAGCAGTCTTATATCATAGTGGTCAAGTTCTGCTGCCCGTAGGCAATCGAAAAGTGTATCGTGTTGTACTCTGTCGAACGCCTTCTCGAAGTCGATGAAACAAACATAAACATTCTTTCGGAATTCACAACTCTTTTGTAATAGAACGCGCATACAGAATAGTGCCTCTCTAGTTCCTAGACCGTTTCTAAATCCAAATTGCTTATTACCCATCCTACTTTCGCATAGAAGGAATACTCGGTTTTGTATAATTCGCAAGAGTATCTTCAGTGTGTGACTCATCAAACTGATTAGTTTAAAATCGCTGCATTTGGTGGGCCTGATTTTCTTTGGTAATGTTATAAACCGTGACTCTAACCAATCATCTGGTATTTTTCCTTCGTTGTAAATTTTGTTGAAGAAAGTGGTTAAGCAGGCAATGCTTTCCTCATCCAAAAGTTTAAGTAGCTCAGCAGGGATTTGATCTGGTCCAGGTGCTTTATTGTTTTTGGCTTGCTGTATTGCCTTTTTGACTTCCGAATTCAGTATACTGGGACCTCTGTCTAACTGGTTGTCACAGGCAGTATTTGGAGCATTTTCTCTAGAAGCATCGTCAAAAAGGTCAGTGATGTATCTCTCCCATTCTTTGCACTGTTGTTCGTGATCACAAATTTTTCCGTCCGCGCTTTTAAGTATGTGAGCATTTTTATGTTTTCTAATTCCGGCAGTATATTTAAGTTTCTTGTGGAGGTTGAAACTGTCATGCTTTTTTTGGAGGTCTTCTATTTCTTTACATAAATTCTCAAGCCAGGATTCTTTGGCTTGCTTAATTTTCTTTTTATGCGTTTATTGATTTCACGGTATTCGATAATATTTCTATTTTTGTGTTGTCGTCGAACTTCCATCAGGTCTAGAATTTCTTGTGTCATCCATTCATTTTTTGCCAACATGGTAGGTGTTTTCAAAGACTCTTGTACGTTCTCTAAAATCGAGTTTTGAATATCATACCAGCATTCGTTAATGGTTCTGTTTTCGTTTGGTATATTTGATATTCTGTGTATTTTACTATTTATCTGCTGTGATATGTGTTCGCGCGTTTGAGGGTTTTTCAGGGGGTCGAGATATATCTTACAAGGCTTAGTTGGCTTTGTTAATTTCTTTAATTTAATTTGTATTTTGGAGCAGAGTAAATTGTGATTTGAGTTTATGTCAGCGCCGGGCTAAGTTTTTACATCTTTAATATTGTTTCGAAATCGGTGGTTTATTAGGATGTAATTTCTGGAAATTGAAACCAGGTATTTGTAATGGCGAAATCATTTTCTTGGCAGAATTCTATTAGACGTTCACCTCTTTTATTTCTCTCTCCCAAGCCAAACTTTCCGGTGATGTCCTGCGTTATCTTCTGTCCAACTTTAGCGTTAAAGTCACCCATAATTCCTTCCTTCATGGGCCACAGGGCGCATGCATCGAAAACAACGACAAACGACACATCGCGTAGCTGTCAAGAGAAGAAATAAGACATTCTTTTTTGTTTTTGTTAATTTTAAGTTTTATAAGATTATTATAATAAAAGGTGACAGTCAGAATAATTATTTTTCATACAAAGAAATACAGTCCACAAACTTCTGAAGGCTCAGAAATAAAAACTTTATTCATGGTCCTTCGAGCCGGATTTTATCAACAAGCAACAAGTGTTAGTGTATTTTTTATCGGCAAGTGAAAAAGTTAACATGGCATGGTATGTGGTGAGTACACATTTTTCATTCCTATAATACCTATCCTGGAATAAGAGAGATATTAATTTGTGTCACAAGGTTATTATAATTTCGTTTTGTTAGGATTTATTAATAGCAAGCTTTAAACTTTATTGATATTATACATAGTCGATGCAATGGATCAGTTAATTGTTTTAAAAGAAAGCGTGGTATCTTTAAGGCACAAATTACAAAATTTGATTCATTTATAAGCAGTTTTACTCACGATAAAATAGTAGAATTACAAGTTAGGGTTGACAAATGCAAAGAATGGTGGAATGATTTTGATCAAATACAAAGTGAAATTGACTTATTAGACACATCAGAGGAACAATTACAAGAAAGGTTAGATTTTCAGGATGCATATTTTAAACTAATAGCCTCTGCAGAAATTATATTAAAGAATGAAGTTAATTTAAACGATACTATAGCAAACTCAGGTCACAATACTAGTTTAGATCGAAATAGCTTAAAAAATGTAAGGTTACCACCACTGGAGATTTCAACTTTTAATGGTTGTTATCAACATTGGTTAGAATTTAGAGATAGTTTTACTAGTATGGTCATAGAAAATTCTGATTTAAATGATGTTGACAAGCTTCACTATTTAAAAAGGGCTTTAATAGGGGATGCCCAGGATGAACTGGAGCAGCTAAAAACTACTAGCAAAAATTTTACTATTGCATGGCAACTTTTATCTGAAACATATGAAAAGAAAAAACTTATTGCACGTGGTCATATTGAAGCTATATATGAATATCCAAAAATAACTCAGGTAAATAGTTTAGAATTAAAGAAATTGTCAGGTTGTATAAAAAGAAATTTAAAGTCACTAGGTATGTTAGGTTATCCAGTTGAACATTGGGATGTTCTTTTACTTTGTACCATAGAGAAAAAGCTTGATTATTACACAAATAAGGAATGGCACGAAAAGGGTCCAGTTAACGAATTTTCTACTATACAGGAATTCTTAGCATTTATAGATCATAAAGTACAACACTTACAAAATTCAGAAGGGGATAAACAAGATATAGAGCAAATATC